AGGTCTAGCCTTTCGCCCCAAGACGCTCCCAGGAGGCCCCCAGAGCCCCCCAAGAAGCCCCAAGAGGCCCCCAAGAGGCGTCCCAAGAGGCCACAGGGAGGCGAAAATCTTGGATTTCCTATGGGAAAAGGTACATTTTTAGCATACAAGGCTTTTCGGCTTTCACTGCGTTGAAGACGCTCCAAGAGGCCCCCAAGACCGCCCCAAGACGGCCCAAGAGGCTCCCAAGAGGCCCCCGAAACGGCCCAAGAGGGCGCCAAGACGGCCCAAGAGGCGCCCAAGACGGCCCAAGAGGGCCCCAAGACGGCCCCAAGAGGGGGACCACGAACCGAAGAGTCTAGCCTTTCGCCCCAAGAAGCTCCCAGGAGGCCCCCAGAGCCCCCCAAGAAGCCCCAAGAGGCCCCCAAGAGGTTCCCAAGAGGCCTCCAAAAGGGCCCGACAAGGGCCCCAATATGACTCACAAGAAGGCCCAGAGACGCCAAGTAGAGAGCGATCGGTAACGCAAAAAGCTCTTCACACCAAGGCTCCCAAGAGCGAACGGTGACGTAAACAAGCTGATAAGACCCAGGCTCCCAGCAGAGAGCGGTGACGTAACAAGTTCCTGACACCAAGGCCCAACCAAGGCTCAGGAACGGGCGGCAACGCAACCATCTCTGAACACCAAGGTTCCCAAGAGCGAGGGGTGACGTAACAAGCTCTCAACGCCAAGACTCCCAGTACGAACGGTGGTGTGAGTAATTTCGGTTTCTGTTTCTGAAGCGCTCTTTCCGTTTCCGTGCCGGCCCAGGTCTAATGGCCTTCTGCCCATCCCGCCACCATGCTTGGGTTGTGGTTATGAAGCCTACTAGACGTTCGTTGGGATCTCTTGGGAGGCTTCTCGGAAGCCTTTTTGAGGCAGTTAGGACGCCTCTTGGGGGCCTCTTCGGGCCTTCTTGGGGCCTCTTTGGGGCCTCTTTGGGGGCCTCTTTGGGGGCCTCTTGGGGGCCTCTTGTGGGCCTCTGGCTGCCTCCTGGGCGCCTTTTGGGGCCTCCAACCTCCAGGGGCCTCTTGCGGCAGAAGGCTTGGATTTTCGGTTCGTGTTCCCTCTCTGGGGCCCCATTTGGGGCTGTCTTGGGATCCTTTTGGACCTTGGGCGTCTCTTGGGCCGTCTTGGGGCCCTCTAGGGCCATATTGGGGCCCTCTTGGAGGCCTCTTGGTCCGTCTTGGGGTGGTCTTGGGGGGCCTGCAGCGCCGTCTGGGAGCGTCGGTGAGCTGAGAAGTCGAGAACGCCAAAATCTTTCAAAAACCGTAGGACAATCAATGATTTTGGCCTCGTGGGGCCCTCTTGGGAGACGTTTTGAAGGCCTCTTTGGGCGTCTTGGAGGCCTCTTGGGCCGTCTGGGGGCCATCCTGGGCGTCCTGTGGCGATGGTTCGGCGACTCGGGGCCCTCTTGGACCGTCTTGGCGGCCTCTCGGTGCCCTCTTGGCCCGTCTCGGGGCGCTCTTAGGCCAGGAAAAGGCATGCGACCAGATGCGCCAAGGCCCAAGGGAACCGCGCCGAGCCCCGGGAGATCTGTGAATTGGGGCTCTGGTCTCCTTATTCCTCAGAGGAGTGCGGACTGAGGTTCAGGGGATTGGGCAAAGGTCTTGAGGACACGCTCATTTCGTGCCCAGAGGCACGGTGGCGGATGTCCGTTCTCTCTCTCTCTCTCTGTCTCTCTTTCTCTGCCTGTTTATATATTTGTATACGTATATTACCCACAGTGCTTGCACTCAGGGGTTCGCACTTGAATTCTAAGGAACTGGGCAATGTCGTCGTTCTGGCTGCCATGTGACCGCCGTCGCCGCCCTGTCGCCGCCTCGTCGCCGCCCGTCGTCTGGGCCGTGTTTTCGGTCTGGCGGCTACGTGGCCGCCGTCGCCACCTCGTCGCCGCCTCGTCGCCGCCCGTCGTCTGGGCCAGTGCGGCGGTCTTGCGGCTATGTTGTCGCCATCGCCGCCCTCTTGGGCCCTCTTCGGCGCCTCTTGGGCCGTCTTGGGGCCCTCGTGGGCCGTCTTGGGGCCCTCTTGGATGCCTTTTGGGCCGTCTTGGAGCGGCGGTCTTGGGGGCCTCTTGGGCGGTCTTGGACTGGACTGGAAGAAGCCGCGCCTAGACGGCGCACCGGCAGACAATCGTACTAGATAGGAGGCCACGAAAAATATGAAAATATGCTAGCTAAGTGCATGCGCGCCGGAACACGGTCACTGAATTGAGCAGTGGTGGGCGGCGGTAGGCAATACATCAGAGCGATATTCTGCAAGAAGGGGGGCAGGAGGGAGAGGAGGGAGGGAAAAGGAGGACAAAGACAAGGGGAGAAACACACTAACTACACAGATTTACAATACCGTGCAACTGCAGCTTCCCAAGATGCGGGAGGGCCTCGCAGTAGGCTCTGCAGGCTATCTGGACAATCTCCTGCTAGGTTCAGAGCACACGCGTGCATGTAACGCGTCCACTGCAGGCGGGGGCGTCATTGCTTCCGTGATACGTTCCATCTTCTTGGCAAGAACCTGCATGCTTGCCCTTCTTCAACGACCATTTGCCTGGGAAGTGCGCCGGGCCGATCACGAGCCAATTTCCCATAGTAAACCAACTGCCGCTGCAACAATGTTGAAGACAGCCGCGCCATTCCACTCGTGGCCCTTACTTCTTCATTGCTCACCCTCGACAAGAAGGCCGGGGGGATTTTGTAGATCTTACAGAGGCACCGTGCTTGGAAACCATTGAGCCTGTCCCTATCAGCGGCGAGTACATGCAATATTCTAGCCCATGAAGTATCTTCGAAAATATGCACGTGTCCAATACCATCGTTTTTCGACGGCGGCACATGTTTGCATGGTTCCACACAACACGTAGCTTTTGAAATGCGCATTTCGCCTTGCCAAGGCGCCGCGCAAGCTCTGTTTTTGGGTTCCCATCGGTACTAAGAAAGCCACCCAAATAGATAGCGTGGTCTTGGCATTGAATAGGTTCGCCCCCGGGCCCAAATATAGTCGCATCACATCAAACTTTCAAGAGCACCGTCTTGCCAACATCCAATTCCAGACCGAATGATTTTCCAATGTGCGCAATAACGTACAAGTGGGTTTGAAGAGCGTCTGGGTTCTCTGCTATTAACAACGTGTCGTCGGAATAGAGTGTGTCCTCCGTTATGACGTACGCTTTGTTGACTCTCGTGGGGCTGTTCTTGTGTAGCTCGGCGTCCACAGCTTGCAGAAGAATGGACATTACGATGACAAGTACGGCGACAAAGGACACCCTTGTGCGATCCCTGCATTCTGACATCGCTGGGACGACTTCCCTTCCCCTCCTTTCACGATGAACTTACGTGCCATGCAAATTCCATGGATCATGCTGAGCATATCTGGATGTATGCCAAATTGTCGCAAAGCGTGGAGTAGTCCATCCGGCTTGATGCGGTTGAATGCTTTGGCCCGACCTACAAGTAAGAAGAGAAGCTTTCCATACTTATCTCCCAAAGCTGCATTAATAAGGCGCCGTGCCAAAAACAGTGCGTCAGCGGTGCCGCGGGCCGGTCTGAAACTATATTGTTATTCTCGTCAACTCTGCTCCACGCCACCAGCTTTGAGCCTCTGTAAGATAGTACTTTGTAACCTACGGCTCATAGTGAAATTGGCCTGTAGTTGCTCGGTTGTGATGCGTCCCCCGTTTCTGAAGATGGTGACAATGGATGCCTCTCGCCATTCTTCTGGTATTGCCTTTTGTTGCCAACATCCATCACAGAGTTCCCGTAGTATTTCCAAAGCCGTGTCATTGGACCACAGCATTTGCCATACATCTGGTGGTACCTCATCGTGCCCTGCTGCTTTTTGCGCTTTTAACGCTTTGACTGCTCGCCGTACCTATTCGATCGTAATACTTCCAGCACTCATTTGGAGAGGGGCCGCATTGAGTTCCACTTCAGGTAGAGCCTCGGGGCCGTCGTGTAGTTTCCATTGTATATCTTCCAAATCGTCTGCCATTGTTTCTGTTCTCTGTTCGGAATCCACCAAAACGCCATATTTGTCTCGCAGACGTCCTTGTCGTAACGGCGGCTGTGTCCTTAGAGAGCGTATCGCTTTCCAACCTCTTTCTTGGACCGCGTCCTCCAACCAGTTCCTCTTATCCGCACGCGCGGAAACTTGAATTTGTTTGTTCAGCGCCTTCACATCAGCTTGAACACCCATGTCTCTAAGTTTGTTCCTCTGGCCTATCAAGTGAAGCGTCCGTGAAGATACCCATGGTCTGTACGGCGTGGCCGGTAGAAGCGGCACGCTTTCAGCAACCGATTTGAGCATGCAGAACGCGATCTTCGCAGCCTTATCTTGTAGGCAAATGCTTGGTACTTCTCTCTCCCACTTGCTTACGAAGCCCTCGGTGCATCGCTATGGATCATTTTACATAGGGAAGCATGTGTAGCAGCATTGAGGGGCCGCACTTGTGTCGGCTCAAGTTCTCATCTCGCCAGGTGCACGGCATCTGGTATGAGGGGCTGAGGGATTCCATTGTCGTTGGGCTCCACTACTGCACCGCCCAGCTCGCTGCAGTCTGCCCTGCATCCCCTCCCTGTCCAGAGCTGGTCTGCCCAGAGATCCCAGGCTGCCCAGCTCTCGCCTGCGGGAACTGCAGCTGCCCGCCGGTGCCGTCGGCGACGCAGGCCGTGCTCACCGGCGCGGCGCTGGCGGCGGGGTGCCTCGCCGCCGGGGTCGCGGGCGGGGGCGCCGCAGGATTCCTCGCGGGCCGGCTGTTGCCGGCAGTTCGGTGCCCACGACGGGCTCCGAGCGAGAGCGCGGGGGAGGCCCCGGGCGCAGGCGGCGCGCCCAAGCCCCCGCTCGCCGAGCCGCTGGCGCTGGTGGGGCCGCCGTACCTCCCGCCCCCGGCCTCCGAGGCGGACTTCGAGCAAGAGGCCCGCGCCCAGGCGGCAGCCGTGCGCGTGAGGCGCGTCGCGGCGGCGGCGGCTGCGGCTGGCGCTGGCCGTGCCTGATGGCGGCCCTCGCGGCCCTCGGAGCTGCTGACGGTGGCCATGTCCTCTCGAACGCTGTCGTCACCGAGGGCGACCTCATCGCTGTCAGGTACCAGGCCCGTGGGGCCCCGCTGTGGCATGAGCGCCTGGTTCTGCTGCTCCTGCCGAACCACTCGTTCACTGGGGTCACGCCGGACGGGGACTGCTATGAGGAGGACCTGCTGCCGGGCGGGGACGTCGACGCCTTGACGCCGCTGGCCAACGGCGTCTCTGGAGGGGGGTCCCCCGCCATCGGCGGCCAGAGGGTCTACGGCTTCCGCGCGCTGCCGCTCTTGCACCAGCTCGTTGCAGACAGGGCGGCCGCTGCCTCCAGGCTGAACGTCGTGCCCTCACCTGTCTTCGCGGTGAACGTGGGTAGGGCAGCTGGAGCCCCAGCTGGTCCTGCGGCGGCGAATCCCCCAGGCGTGCTGGCACCAGGAGTCGCCCCAGCTGTGCCAGGGGGAGGCGTTGGCCCCCCCGCTCCAGCACGGGCAGGAGGCGCTCTTGCTCCAGGCGGTCTGGCGGGCCTCGCTGCTGCCTTGGCTCCAGGACCTGTCCCGGCCCCTGGGGGGCCTGCGCCGCTGGCGGCGCCTGGGTCCCTGCTGGGGCCCCCCCTGGGCGCGCCGGCCCCTGTCGGGGCCGTCCCCGCGGGAGGGGCCCCGGCGGCCCCCGGGGCCCTCGCTGCGGGCGCTCCGCCCTTGGTCGTCCCGCTGGCTCCCCTGAGGGACGCCCGTGTCCTGGATGTCGTCTACGATCAGCTGGGGGCCCGCTATCTGGATTTCAGAGAGGTTGTGCTGAGAATGCGAGAAGACCCGTGGCCCGATCGGCCTGTCTCGGGCCCACGCACAGCTCTTTGGTGCTGCCGTTTTATTTCCCAGAACGCGCCCACCCCCATGGGCCGTCATGTCCGCTGGCGTCAGGAGGCGGGCCTGATTGATTCAGACCTGGGGGTGGACGAACACGAGAAGTGTTGCCGAGCTCTACAGCACGCCGCGGTGCATGACCAACTGAACGTACCGAATCACGCTAGCATGGAAGTGATTTGCCGAGACCTCCAAGTGCAGGAGGAACGTTACAGAGAGCGCGTCGCCAATCCAGACCAGGCTGGCGTCGATCGCCATGTGTTCATGGGGTCAGGCAAGGTGCGCGGCAACCTTTGCATATGCCCCGATCTCCAGAGCTGGGTTTCTGCTGAGCTAGCTCGTGAATCGGCTATCGCCAAAGAGCGCCGCAAGGCTCGAGAAGAGAGGGCTCTGGCTTCAGGATCGGGAGGCGCGGAGGGCCCCCATCCTAAGCCAGGGCCCAAGAAGAGATGAGTGCTTCGGGGGCGGAGAGCTTCAGGCCCCTCTCCGCTCCTCCCATCGAGGGCCCGTCCCAGCTGCCCTGCCGCCCTCCTGGCCTCCATCCTCAGCGGCGGGTGCAGCGGGACCTTTTTCCTTTGCCTTTCCCCCAGACTCAGCAAAGTGTTGTCGGGGTGGCCAGGCCCAGCCGCCGAGCGCTGAGGCGCCGGCGCTGCCTGGCGCACGCTGATGCCTGGGCCGCCGACGGAGTCGCAGTTTTGAATGATCTCCACGGTGCTTGTACGCCGCCCTCTGCGCCGAATGCCCGCCAGCAGCGCGTTCAGAGCCACATCGTGGAGTCTTGCCAGGGACTTGATCGCCCCCCGGGGGGCCCCGATTTTGAACGGGGGGCCCTCAGCGAGCTCCTGTCCGGGACCACTATCTACGCCTCCGACAGTGGCCCCGTGGTTCCTCATTCCTTCGAGCGCATCTCGTGGCCGTCTCGCGACTGTAAGCCAGTGCCTGTCCTAGACCTGCTGTCGCCCGCCGATGCGTCTGCGTTTAAGGATTGGCGAGGGGGCCTGCTCAGACCGCCGGCTGAGGCTGCGGCCCTGCGCGCGGAGGCCTGCCCGAGGCGAGCCTATGTTGACCCTTCCCTCTCGCCCAACCCTTTCGAGTATGCGAAGTTTCTTTTCCAGGCCCACTCCAGGGGCATGTTGTCGTTCCAGCCTGCCCGGGGCCAGAAAGGAGCTATGGGCGTCTTTTGGCCCTGTGGGTTGCCTTGGCCTTCTGCTGCTACCTGAGGCCAGTGGAGTGCTTTCGCCTCAAGGGCCGCAGCCTGGTGGCGCCCTCCCCCGCGGCGGGCCCGCAGCGCGCGTCGTGGGGGCTCCTGCTCCACGATCTGCAGTCGCAGACGCCAGGGAAGATGAACCTCTTCGAAGAGTCGGTGGTCATCGACATGGATCCCTTGTTGGAGCAGCCGCTGGCAGCGTTGGAAGTCGACGGTGCCGGGCGATGCCCCTCTGCGGGCCTTCGGCGCTCCCCAGCTGAGCAGGCGCTTCGCCGCGGCCTCAACCCAGCTGGGGCTGCAGGCGCCGGCGCCCCACCTCTACAGCCTCCGCCACGGCGGCGCGTCAGAGGACATCCTCGCGCGCCGCCGCGCCCCGGCCGAGACCCAGCGGCGGGGGCGTTGGCAGGCCGCCAGCCCCACGAAGAGGCACGCGAAGGAGACCAAGCTCCTGGCCGAGATGGCCCGGGCCAGGGCGACGCGTGCACGGTCGGGCGCCTCGTGGAGGACTCGCGCGCTCCGGCGCCCTTTACGTTCAACCTCTGCCCCCGCGGGCCTGCCCGACCTCGGCCCTCCTGGGGCGGCCAGGCTTGACATAGGAAACAAGTATTTTTATTTCTCGCGCCGTATAATTTATGCGTGCGTTTCTCTCGAAATCCCTGTCTTCCTGGAGAATCCCCAGACGTCATTGTTTTGGGGGGCGCCGAGATTCAAGGATTTGCCTCGCCTCTCCTCCTTCGCTTCTTCCATCCTTCTCATGTGCCAATACGGCACCCCTTGGAAGAAGCCCGCCAAGATTGCAAGATTGCAGCCTGGTGGGGCGGCTCCGGTTTCCATCTGCGCGAGCGCTGCTGCCCTGCCGGACGAATTTGTTCTAGGGCGAATCGCCCCCATCTTGTCCTCACAGGCCGCGCCCCTGGCGGCGCGCACTACGCTGCACTGGCCGCCGCCTACCTGGCGGCATTCGCCCGAGCAGCAGCTGCGCAAATGATCGAGAGCGCCCGCGCGATCCAGTCAAGGCGCCTGGCTCGCTTCAGTGGGTTGTGAATTTGACCAGACAGTGACATAATTGTGTTAGTTCTTGTATGCGGCCTGCGGCCATGCCTTACCATGCGGGAGTGGGCGCTGTGTCGAGGTCTCGTGCAGCCTGCTGTCACGTGTCACTGTCTCGTTTGCCTTCCTCGGTCTTTTCAAAAAGCATCATCCTGGCCTCGTTGAGTTGCCCAACGTGCTGGATCATTTTTCATAGGGAAGCATGCGTAGCAGCATTGAGGGGCCGCACTTGTGTCGGCTCAAGTTATCCCTCCCTCCCGCCCGCTCTTTCTCCTTCCAGTGTCAATGCATTTAAGCTTCCCCGAGTGGCCTAGGGGCGCTGTGTCGAAGTCTCGTGCAGGCTGCTGTCACGTGTCACTGTCGCGTCTGCCTTCCTCGGTCTTCTCAAAAAGCATCGTCCTGGCCCCGTTGAGTTGCCCAGCATGCTGTCCTCATTGCGTACAACCTTCCAATAGTATCGCGGTGGCCCTGGTCTCCGAGGTGTTTTGGGGTTATTGATGTCCAGATCAATAATGCACAGAAAGTGGTGTGATTGTAAAGCTATGCGACGGTCGTTCCAAATGCTCAGGACATTCTGCAGCCACTTGAAATCGGCGACGGCGTGGTCAAGCTGTTAAATTTGCTTGGTATTGTAGTGGCCTTCGGCCAGTGCCGCCGATCCGGGGCGCTCCGACTGATGTGATCCTTCTTCGCCCTCGTCCCGCCTCTCTTTTTCTTTCCCCTCCTCTCACTCAGCATTTATCGAAGACGCCTACGGCGAATCACCGCCGCCCCCTGCCTTTTTGGAAACGCCGATGTGGCCGAAAGTTGGACTAGAGCTTGGCCAAGCTATCGGACCATGAGTTCCCCGAGTCGGTTTGGAAAGCTTTCGGGGAACACATGGGAGAGAATGATTATGAACAGGAAGAGGAAGAGGAAGAAATAGAGTAGGAGGATGAGGGTTGTTAGGAGTCTCTTGGGGCACCCTTGGGGTCTGTTGGGGGCTTCTTGGGGGCCTCTTCGAGGCCTCTTGGAGGCATCTTGGGGGCCTCCTTGGGCCTCTTGGGGGCCTTTGGGGGCTTCCTGGGGGTCTCTTTGGCCGTCTTAGGGCGTTCCTGGTCCGTCTGACGCCGTCTGGAGCCGTCTTGGGGGCCTCTCTGGGCCGTCTTGGGGCCCTCTTGGGGCGCTTCAGGGCCGTCTTGGAGGCCATGTTGGGCGTCTTGGAGGCCTCTTGGGCCGTCTTGGGGCGCTCTTGGGGCCGTCTTGGGGGGCCCTTGGGCCGTCATAGGGCCTTCTTGGAGGCCTCTTGGGCGATCTTGGGGGCCTCTTGGGCCGTCGGAAGGCCGAAAAGAAGAAAACGCAAAAAACCTTCAAAAACCTAAGGAAAACCAATGATTTTGGCCTCTTCGGGCTCTCCTGGAGAACGTCTTGGAGGCCTCTTGGGCCATCTTGGAGGCATCTTGGGGCCATCTTGGCCGTCTTGGAGGGCATCTTGGGCCGTCTTGGAGGCATCTTGGAGCCATCTTACCCGTCTTGGAGGCCATCTTGGCCGTCTGGGAGGCATCTTGGAGGCCATCTTGGGCCATCTTGGCCGTCTTGGAGGCCATCTTGGGCCAAGTTGGGGCAACAAAGGCATTGACAGACGGATTTTGGGAAAATTACGGGTGGCCGGCGGGACGGGCCGAAGCCCATTGGGGAGTTCTTTTAGAAAAAGAACCAAAACCAAAACCTGAAACGTCCAGCACGCCGTGCACCCCTGCAAGCAGGGGGCGGCGGAACTCAGCATTTATCGAAGACGCCTACGGCGAATCACCGCCGCCCCCTGCCTTTTTGGAAACGCCGATGTGGCCGAAAGTTGGACTAGAGCTTGGCCAAGCTATCGGACCATGAGTTCCCCGAGTCGGTTTGGAAAGCTTTCGGGGAACACATGGGAGAGAATGATTATGAACAGGAAGAGGAAGAGGAAGAAATAGAGTAGGAGGATGAGGGTTGTTAGGAGTCTCTTGGGGCACCCTTGGGGTCTGTTGGGGGCTTCTTGGGGGCCTCTTCGAGGCCTCTTGGAGGCATCTTGGGGGCCTCCTTGGGCCTCTTGGGGGCCTTTGGGGGCTTCCTGGGGGTCTCTTTGGCCGTCTTAGGGCGTTCCTGGTCCGTCTGACGCCGTCTGGAGCCGTCTTGGGGGCCTCTCTGGGCCGTCTTGGGGCCCTCTTGGGGCGCTTCAGGGCCGTCTTGGAGGCCATGTTGGGCGTCTTGGAGGCCTCTTGGGCCGTCTTGGGGCGCTCTTGGGGCCGTCTTGGGGGGCCCTTGGGCCGTCATAGGGCCTTCTTGGAGGCCTCTTGGGCGATCTTGGGGGCCTCTTGGGCCGTCGGAAGGCCGAAAAGAAGAAAACGCAAAAAACCTTCAAAAACCTAAGGACAACCAATGATTTTGGCCTCTTCGGGCTCTCCTGGAGAACGTCTTGGAGGCCTCTTGGGCCATCTTGGAGGCATCTTGGGGCCATCTTGGCCGTCTTGGAGGGCATCTTGGGCCGTCTTGGAGGCATCTTGGAGCCATCTTACCCGTCTTGGAGGCCATCTTGGCCGTCTGGGAGGCATCTTGGAGGCCATCTTGGGCCATCTTGGCCGTCTTGGAGGCCATCTTGGGCCAAGTTGGGGCAACAAAGGCATTGACAGACGGATTTTGGGAAAATTACGGGTGGCCGGCGGGACGGGCCGAAGCCCACTGGGGAGTTCTTTTAGAAAAAGAACCAAAACCAAAACCTGAATCGTCCAGCACGCCGTGCACCCCTGCAAGCAGGGGGCGGCGGATCCAGTGGCCGTCGGCCTATCCCGCCACCGTGCGTGGGTGGTGGGTCAGAGGCATCATGGATGCTGGCTGGGATCTCGTGGTTGGCTGGGACTTCTGGGGGCCTCTTGGGCGCCTCTTGGGGCTTCTTGGGGGCCTCTTGGGCTTCTTGGGGCCACTAGAGGGCCTCTTGTGGGTCTCTTGGGAGCCTCTTGGGGCTTCTTGGGGGCCTCTTCTGCGCTTCTTGGGGCCTCTTGGAGACCTCCTCGGAGCTCTTGGTGCGGGAGGGGTGGTACTCGAGTTCGGAACCCCCTCGGATGCCACGATCCTTGTGAGGGGTGTCAAAAAACGCGTCCGCCGGAAACTCGCACCCCCCCCCCCCTCCATCCCCCCTTCCCCGGCAGAGCCACCCCGGCAACCCCCCCAGAGGCTGAGGCTCAGCCTCGAGGCTGTAGCTGAGACTCCTTGAAACTAACACGCCGGATCGGCGGATAATTGGGTTCATCGGAGACGCACCAACATCATGATAGCTTACTTTGGCTTCGCTGTCAGCTTAAAAAAATGTGTTAGCGATACAAGTTACCGTTGAGGTACGCAGTTCCATTAGCAGCTCTCTGTTCGACGTTGGAGTCCATGTGCTTATGAAGTTGTGAAACGCAGACTCTCCCATTATATCTTCCTCTCCCTAAAATATTTGCAGAAGTCTTGCATTGAAATCCCCGATTAAAGTGTTTGGCCCATGTGGCCGGCAATTACAACATACGTGGTCGAGGTCTGGAAAATCATGTCGAATATCGTACGAATGCGTATTCGTCCAAGCATACATTGTAACCAACATCAGTACACCTCCGGGCACTCACAAACGCAAAGAAGCCATACGATTTTTGATTGAAAATAACCCCTGATTGATTGTTTCGCCCACGGTGCCACTGATAATGACGCCTATGCCGGCATACTCTCTGTGGTTTCTCTCGCTCCCAGTAAAAATAATGAGGTGGCTTTCCAATTCAAAAACATTGGATCCGCAGTAATGTGTTTCTTGGAGACACAGAACTGCGATACCCAGGTCGCGCATATGCTTGATAATCTCGTGCACCTTGTGCGGGCTGCTCTGCGAGACGCCTTCGACGTTCCAAGATGCAACTCTTCCGCAAGTTATGGGCCAGCATGGGAATGTTACCCACTCTCGCAGTGTAGGTGAAC